CCCCAAAACCCCAAAACCCCAAAACCCCATGGGAGTTATAGAACTTGAGTTTGTATTTTTAATAATTGATTTGAAATAAAATGGCTTAAAAAAGAAAAGACTCTTCACTGGCTCAGTAACTTGAGCAGTTTTTCCTTTACACCAAGTTAAATGAGAATGACACTAAAACCCTCAGAAAAGCATAAACTAATAAAGAGGAGCGCAGAGTCCTGTCGAATATATTCAATCTATAAACTATCCCATCCCCCTTTAATCAAAACAGAGTGAATAAAATAGATGTTTTACTGCTTGACTTTCACTACATCAATTATGAATTCTGCAAGGAAAACTACTTTTCAAATGAGAAGGTATCTACCCTCCTGGCGATTATGGATTTTATCTTCCACTACATGCTAGATAAGCAGATTATCCCAGAAACTGGCTATAAAATCCTCAAACAAATACTGGATAAGCACTCTCTTCAAAGGCCACCGTTCTCAATACTGATATTTGAGCAGCAAGACATTCAGAAGATCCTGCAGTTCACGATTAAGACATTCTTCAGACACTTCAGTCTCTATGAATCTGCTTTTAAACCAAGAATGGAATTGGTTTTAAAGTTCGAGCCATTTATTAATGATCAGTACAATGCTGAACAACGAAAACTTGAGGATATGGTTCTGGTAGACAATGATGACGCTGAGAAACTTAAAGTATACCTCAATATATTCAGTCAACAACTAGACGGCATGGCCGCTGATTCAGATCCTTTACACTCAGGACCATTAGTTAGTGACAGGCAACATGTTGGTTCCACAAGACAAAGCTAACTTGCAAATGAAGAAGATCTGAATGAATAGTTAGACTAGGAGGTGCAAATTAATTGGAAGAAAGTAGGAAAACCTTATACAGGTAACGATGATATTATGAGTGTGTTGGAAAGAGAGATGAGCAGACTAAAGACAGCTATGGAAATGAAGATAGTCGCCCAGGATGTTGAACTAGAGGAAAAAGTTAACATTGCCAAGGGGAAGAAGAAGTGAGAAATTGCATCTCATGCATTGATTGTGAAATCTATAATAAAGACACTTAATCTATAGTTTTAATTTTTAACATTCTATGACTTAGACGAGAAAAAAGTTTACATAGTTATTTTAAATGTGAGATTTAAATTAAGTTGCCATATAAAATACTCAAATTTTCTTACTTTAATAGGAGAAACTATATTTGATTACATCGTATCACTTTAACTTTCTAATTTTCATTTCAATCTGAGTCGTTTTCTGCTACTTGCTTCAGTTCTGACTCATTATTTTTAGTGGAGGCAGTGGCTTGACTCTTGTTCTGGAAATTGTTAATGAGTATACTCATCATAGACACCTTTTTCTACATTGTATTCTCTAACAAATTCACAGTTGAGGTCTTGTTTTTCTAAATGTTGTTCTCAATTTATTTGTTCACTAAATTATTAGTTTATATAAATGGGTTACATTAGCGGAGCTTTTTGTCGTTTCCAACACTATTTAGGTTTGTCCCCATTAAGATTTTTATTAGAAATTCAATCTTAGAAGATAGTTTATTATTATTTGCCTTATTATACTCTTGATTATCTTGATCATCATCCTCATCAAATCCATACTATAAATAAATAAGATACTAATTTTACTTACTTTTGCTTTTAATGTTTCTAGATTTAGCTTCTCTGCTATCCTTCCTAGAGCCTCTATAAACTCAATAAATTGCATTTTCATATGTTTGTCAAAGTCAACTTCATTAATTTCAGTCATCTTTGAAAGGTTAAAATGAATGCCTATTTCTCTTTAGCCAAAATTATCTGAACAGATTGATGTTTATGTAATCATCTCTTAAAATTCTTCTAAACTCATAAAAGGCTAGTGACCAGGTTTTGTATAACGGCCAGAATTTTACTTGTAAAGCATTTTTACAACAGGCATATAAGCCTTATAAATGATGTCGCATGATTCGGTCCATAAACAGTTCTTTCTCCAAATATGACAATCAAAGTTTCTAATATATGGTAAAATTTCTTTTTCAAACATAGTCTGGATAGCTTCATAGTAGGTCTCACAGTACTTCGATTTATAATATTTTTGGACAGCTATCCTTACAAATAATTCTAGCATTTAGTATCTTACTAGAGCTCTGTCTGGATTAAACTTATGCTGTTTGACTCCAGCATTTGTAGTGATAAATTCTAAGTCTACATCATTATTTGAAAGTAATTCTCTGTCAATAGTAGTTGTGTTATTGATTATTTCTTGAAAGATAAGTTGACCGACACTAAATACATTATTATTTGGAGAGATAGCACTAAAGTATTTGTAACATTCTCTGACATATTTATAAATAGTCCTCAAGTATTCTTTAATCTTAGCTATCTCATCATAGTCTTTAATCACTTTAGTAATCTTAGAGGTCTCAAAGTCAAATTCAAAACAATTGTTAAGAAGTACTTCACTATCTGGCTAATATGGATAAAATACTGATTTCTTAAAATCCCAAGGTTCCTTTTCTTTGTTTCTTCTTGGTGGCTCTCTAGGTGGTGGTCTTATCATCACTGAGAGATCCTCAAGCAAAGTTTGTGTAATCGGCTGTTTTTGCTAAGCTACATTATCAATTATATTTGTCATTGGAACTTTGATAGACCTATGGTCTACTTTCTCACCTATATAAATTTCTCTATGCTTTTGATCATGTGCAAAATATTAATTTTCAGATTCACTGTCGACTGTGAAGTAGTAGTTCTAACTTCCTGGAGGAATCATCCTTAATAATCTGTAAACACCATCCTCATTTCTCTCCATTAAGTCTGGCTCGTAATTGTCGCAAGATAGATGTATATAAACAGGAGAATACTCATCAAGCTGTTTATGAATGGTTTACATTGGATCAAATTAAAACATTATTTAAGTCCAACCTTCACATATCCAACAATTAGATGCTGCTTGCAATTCAGTTCTATGTTAAGATACTCTACCCATGTCTAAAGTTGATGATAGTTTGGTCATAATATGAGATGCTCCAGGATTATTATCTCTAGCCGTCATATAACCAAGAGTATCAGTGCTCCTTTGATTTCCAAGCATATGTAGTCCTAATATTGTATGATTTTCCTTAAGTCCTTCGCTCATACCTTTTATTTCTTCTTCCATAAATCCATTGTGGGATAAATCTACATGTATTAATGTTTTATTCAAGAGAAACATATTTTTGAAACTCTAAGGCAGCTTCTCTGCATCACCTCCATTTAATTGAAGCGTATTTTTCAATTTCTCAGGTGTTTCTGGAGAATCACCATTTTGAGAGGAAGTTTTTGGGGTTAATAGCATTAAATAGCTTTATTTAGCTTATTAATTCGATCCGAAAGAATTAAAAGAGGCATCTAAGATTTAAACTCCCTTATTTACTGCAAATGCATCTGCAAGGAGGATAGCACCTCTAAATCTTATTTTATTCCAGCTAATAAATAGCACTCTTAAAGCACTATTAATTTTTAGCATATTGGCTAGATACAATGCTCCTTGATCTGTAAGGTTGTTATTATTAACATTGAGGAAAGTCAATGTTGAATTTCCTTCTAAAGTCTCACATAATTGCTTCATTGTGTGATCTCCAATATTATTTTTCTCTAGTTTTAAGGTTTTCAGCTTATTCAAGCCTTTACTAAGAATGTCATTGATTAATACATAGCTTTTGATCCTCATTAGTGGATTTGAAGACAGATCTAATTCTTAAATATCATTTGATAGAGAATTTAAAATTGGAACTGCTCCTTTATCAGATAGTCTATTAACACTTAAATTTACAACAACAGGGTGTCTAGTTGTTTTCCTTAAGCTTTCTCCCAATGCCTATGCATAATCATCTCCCATCTTAAATCCCGCAGTTTGAACGGTTGTTCTCTTATAGCCCTTGCTATTTATTATTCCAATCGGCTATGGAATCACATGATTATTCGTACATTTCTAGAAGAACTTCGTAAAAGGCGATTCTTTTCTTTTTTGTATCATTCTCTCAATGTTCTTACCCTTCTTATAAAATACTCCCTTCGCCTCTTCACCCTCTAATTCATCTTCAAAACTCGGCTCATCCTCTTAAATAAAAGTAGTCGGTTCAAACAATTTTGCGAAAGATTTCTCCCTCATATGAATAATGTGATTTCGATCAGTTTTAAATTACTTATTAGTCTTAGGGGTATAAGTTTTTAATTAGGGCATCAATTTAGGAGCTAGGATAAGTGCGCTAGCTTAAGTTTCTAATGTCCCTCCATTTAGCCTTTATTTAAGAAGATTTTATGCGAATTGCTATGATCTACGCAGCATATCAATTTCCTCTAATTTAAAATTGAACTTCTTTTCAGGCATATCATTCGCCAAATTTCTCTCAGATATACTGCCAGCTAAGAAGTTACTTTAAGGCTAATTAACAACCTTTGTGAAAGATGATTATCTACTGAAGCCTATATTATCAGGTTAGCGGATACTTGAATGTGAACTAGGCAATCTTTAAGTTTACAAGCCAGTTGCATGAATATTTGGAGAAATAGACTTAGAGCTATCAGTCAGAATTTCTTATTAAGATTATTGGTTTTACTAGAATTTATTACTCTAAATCGAATTCATGTTGCTGACATTTTAATAAGTTACTTGATTTTTCTTAATAATTGAAGTTTTAACATTAGGTAAATAAAAGTCTTTGTTGTCTTCATAATTTGGATTAAAGAATCTATGAGTTTAACTCCCACTAGACATCCCTCCACGTGATTAAGGTTACTTACTCTCCATATTTTTAATTTTTTCGTTTACAATCTTTCGCTAAGCAATTGGAATTTCTAAATCATTCAATTAGATTCGGTGTAAATATGGAAACTTTCTTACCTGAAGATCCATGCCTTGTTAGTCTTTTGATCAAATTACTATTAGCTTGAGTCCTTGTTACGCTACTTCCTCCGATCGTGATTTTTTTCTTAAAAATTGAGTTAACAGGGGTCTCACTTTCCATTTAAAATCTCTAAAATATATAATCCTTTTATGATTTTATTAGTGTAGTTCTGCTCATATCAGAAGTATTAAGTCTTATGGGGTTTTGGGGTTTTGGGGTTTTGGGG